TGCTCGTCCTTCCTCCCCTCGCTCTGTGCTATTCTGCCGCTAGCATAGCCTGTTGTGAATGCTCAGTCTAGTTAGCATAGCTACCAATGATGGCAGATAAACATTTTCCTATAATGATAAGTTGTTTCTCCACCATTAGCACATTTAGCAGTGAGTGAATGAGGTTGATTGACAGCGCTAAGAACATCTGATTGGTTGTTTTGGTCAGAACGATGCATTACTTTAGCCAGTAATAATAGTTCAGGAAGGGGATGGAGGAGGTTGATTGTTTTCACATATTATGTCTCACAAACTGTCATGACTTGGTGACAGTTTTAACAAATATGGAGAAAACATATTTTTTATTAAAGTTATGTTCTGCAGCTTGAATAAAATGGAACTACATGGCATTTTGAGAAGTCTGGGTTGCTTTCTGTGTATTTTGCACATTGCCTATGACTGTTGCTCATGGGGAGACATTCAGTATCTAAAACTAATAGAAGAAATTTAAGCAACCTACTTGCATACCTGATGTGGACTGTTGGATGTTACATTCATGAACAGTAAATATTGTGCTAATTATCAGTATTGAACCAAAGAAAGCAAGGCAGATTCAAGCCTTTAAAATTGTGACGCTTTTTATGGGTCAAATAGACTCAAGAAATTGTAACAGCAGCTGCGGGGGAGGGGGGGGGGAATTAAATTTTTTGTCAGGGGGCCCAAGATTCGTGGCAGCGCCCCTGCCAGTGGGTGAACAGCTTACACATGCTAGTTGTTAGAATATTTAATGCTAGCAATAGTGAGAAGCCCCCTTCTCATTTTCATTAATCATTACTCAGATCAGTAGCTAGCTTGAGAATGGACATAGTCTCCTGCTACTAGGAAGTAGCCACTGCTGGATGGACGGTAGATTTAATTTTGCCGCTGATCCTGCACCATAAACAGCAAGGAACATGAGCTTCACTATTTAAAAGTTTTGTTGCATTTTTCTCTTTATGTGTAGAAAGTTCTCAGATTTCCTGTTATATTTAAGTAAAATGATAAATTTTCACTTCTAAAATATGCTTATTTTGCTTATTAACATCAGAAGTTATTGGACTGACTGACTCATTGTATGCTGTTCCTTTTGGACCTGCTCAGGTATCCAGGGTGTGGTGGAGGCGTACCAGGCCTGCCTACCCAAGCTGCAGCTCTACGGCCCCACCAACATCGCCCCCATCATCCAGAAGGTTGCCAAGTCTGCCTCACAGGAGGTCCACACCAAAGAGGCCATGGTGAGACGCTGCCTTCAGGAACCTCCGCTTCCCTCCGACCCGATCTGAACTGACCTGAACTTCCTGCTCCAGCAATACTTCATTCTGCTGATCCTGACTGACGGCGTCATCACCGACATGGCCGACACCAGGGAAGCCATCGTCCAGGCCTCCCATCTTCCAATGTCCATCATCATCGTCGGGATCGGGAACGCTGACTTCGGTGACATGCAGATGCTGGATGGGGATGACGGGATCCTGAGGTCGCCCAAAGGAGAACCCGTCCTCCGGGACATCGTCCAGTTTGTCCCCTTTCGCAATTTCAAACATGTGAGTTTCAGAAAACCAGAGGAATTCATAAGAACTCTTTCTGAGACTCATTATGCCTGTACTATGTCCTTATTGCTCTGTTTCAGACATGTTAGACCACATTTTGAACTGAAGAAGTTTTGTTCCCAGAAAACTGATTAGTCCTTAAAATAGGGTCAGGTGTTCATATTAAACAACATTTTGTTTCTTCTTGGGTCCTCTCCAGGCCTCTCCGGCTGCGCTGGCGAAGAGCGTCTTAGCAGAAGTGCCCAACCAGGTGGTTGACTACTACAACAGCAAGGGCATCAAGCCCAAAGAGCCCAGTGAATACCAGTCTTCCAGGCCGTTTGGCCCCTGAACTTCAGCACCACAGCAAACCAACCTCACAAAATGTTGACTGTCTTGTGTTTTTTGTCAAAGCGGATGCTAAAGATGATGCACGCAGTATTTACCCATGAGGCATTGGGGTCATCTATCCTTAAACCAGTTGGCCTTCACAGTTTTATTCTGAGGGACCAAGTGTAGGAACCCCTTGGTTCCTGCTTTTGCTGCTGCTAGTTTAGTACTTTTAATGATGTCATCAACTGAAACATTTGCTGCCTTTCATATCAAATAATAATTCCCAATGGTAACCCCCTTAAGCTACACTCGTCTTCCTCCCTGGATGAAGGTGGAGATGCTTTTCAGATCTCGTCATTGATCAGAGAGCTGCTGTTCTCCTGGTAACTTCTGAAGATCATAAGACCTGTAGATCAAAGTCCATCTGGTCCACCCGAGATAGGAATCTGAAAGGTTCTGTCAACATTTCCATTGATCATTTATTTGTTGAGAAGAAACCTCAGTGCATTGAGAGAGGTTTTGACAGAACCAAGAACATAGTTGAACAAAGAAGGCAGTTGAACCTTCAGTTGAACCTTCAGAAGGAGCAGTTTGGTTTCCATCCTGGTCAGGAAACACTGGACCAGCTCTACTCCCTCTGCAGGGAGCTCAAGGGCTTATAAGAGTTTGCCCAACTGGCCCACATTTGTTTCGTTGACCTGGACAAGGCTTTCAACCGTGTCTCCCATGGGCCCCCGTAGGGGTGGAGTACAAAATCCAGGGTCCTTTATTAGGGATTCTCTGTACAGGCATCACTGACACTAAGCCAGACCTGTTTCTGGTGCATGTTGGACTCCAGTGTGGCTGCTATTTATCACCAGTCCTGTTCATGAAGGGCTTGACATGTGGAAGGCAATGTTGCTCCCTCTCCATTTATTTCCTGTGGAACTTGCGCAATGAGGCGACAGTCACTTGCACTCGTCCAGAGAAATGTGTGCATGGGAAACAAGTAGACATGTACACCTGGGCTTTTTGCTACTGTTGTTGTCATATTCCTCACATCGAGCCCATAACTTGTATAGTCAGGATTTATAGGCGTAGCCGAGTGCCGGGAAGGTCTAGTTTGTTGATCGGTGGATTTTGTTCCTTGTTTTATACGAATGATGTGGTTCTGCTCGCTCTTTCTGGCTTGGAGCTACAGAATGCACAAGGCCTCTCCAGGTTGGAGGGACGTTCCTCCCCCAAGTGGAGGAGTTCATCCATCTTGTGGTCTTGTTCATTAGTAAAGGGAGGATGGATGAGGAGATTGATAGAGAAATCAGTGCAGCTGCCGCTGCAATGCGGACACTGCATGGGTCCACTGCGGTGAGGAGAGAGCTGAGTCGAAAAGCAAGACTTTCAATTTACCGGTTGGTCTACGGTTCAACCCTGACTCTGCAATGTTGGAGAAATCCTGCCTCTTCTTTACTTACAAGTCATCACAACCACAATGACTACAACGTCAAACACATCCTCAGAGTTTTGTTGGTTCTGTTCGGTATGCCGGTCCGATGGAAGCTGATGGCAGAAGCTGTGAAAGGTCAGCGGTTTCAGAAATGACATATTGGGTACTTGTAGTGCCTTGTCTGATGGATTTAACCAGAATCAGAACTGGACCTTGGAATCAGTGGACTTTCAGAGGACATCCCTGCAGGATCGTTGGATGGTTGAGCCGTTTCTAAGGTCAGGAGGCCATGACACCATCAACTTCCTTTGAGCCTGCTGGGCATGCCACTGTACAGGAAGTTATTGACCACCAGGTGTCAAGCTCCAGTACAATTAGTATGATGTCACTATGTTGGTCCTGAAACTGTGGAAAACAATCTCTGTGGCATCTTCACATGAATCTATGTAGGACCATAGATTCATTCATACAGGTTTCGCCAGCTGAGAAAGTCTTTGCAGTCACCAACTGGTAGAACCTCCTGCTCCCTTTAGAAGTTCACAGGTGACTCCGTCTCACCTGCTTCATCAGATTCTCCTTCCTGGTTTCTCCAAATGCAGCCTTCAGCTCGCTAGATCACCGCCTGTTGCTGTTGCTGGTTGACCTCCTCCACCTTCAGGACTTGAACTCCTTCAAAAGAAGGAGCTCAGAGCAGATCCCTGATGTATCCCACCCAAACCTCTGTGGCACTACCTCACACCTCACCACAGTGTCTCTGTCCTCACTTCCTCATCCAGGACCTCAGTTCCTGTCTTGGTTCTTTCTTTGTTCTCTGTGGATCCACAAGGACAGAGCAAAACCTTTGGCGCTTCTCTATGGTTCTTCAGATCGTTAACACCAAACATCTCATCCGTAGAGCTTTTCTAGGGACCTTCAATCACCCTGTAATTTGCACAGTGTAGCTGGATTAGCTCAGGAAGTTCTCATCACAGTTTTCATCCTTTGGAGTTTCTGCAAGTGACTCATCAGGTCAACGGGCTCCATGAGGTCCGTCAGCTTGGTGACTGTTGCTTTTTGGACCAAACCAGTCCAAGTACTCCAGAACTTGTAGGATAAACACACTGTTTGCATCTGACTCTTTACACTCTGATACGACTGGACTCGCAAGATCGATTATTCATGCCAGAGTAAGTATCACTCTTAGTTGGACACTTGGAGATACACTCACAGGGAAATGCTAGCGTTCTGCGAAGCCCTGTTATCTTTAATGTGTGTCTATGTACATCATCTGATCTGATGTATTTTGGTCTTTAACTTTCATACCTCAGGACTATTTTGGTCAGAACGTCATGAGTATGATAGGAAGCGTAAAACAAAAGCCACACAAATACCAACTAAAATCTTTTTGTATCAGAACCCATAGCATGCTTCTGCATGTTTGGAGCTCAGAAAAGGGTGAAACTGTGATCTTTTCTGATCTTTCCTAGTGTTTACATTGGCAAGACTTCTGGTTCAAACTCTGGTCTCAATAATTGATCTGACTAGTCCAGTGGTCTGTAGATCGGCCGTCGAGTCAGAGACTTTCTGACAGGAAAAATCAGATCAGAATTTGAAAAGTTGGATGGAAGCGGTGTGTTTTGGCTGTCATCCTGTAGCAGGAACATTTTGGAGGAACAATCATGAGGTTTCTGTCATACTGCCCCAGTTCAGGGTCAGACTTTAGTCGTGTGTAAAAATGCTAAGTGCAGCACCTTGAGCATCCGCTGTGCATGCAGGGCCGACGACAGCTGAGAGCAGAAGAAAAGCACACAAACACAACGTGACCAATCCAAGCGCCGCCTCCCTGCAGACAGCATGCCGAGCAGGGAGGCAGTCGATGAAGGAATGTATGAACCCCTCCCAACTCTCCCTGGTGTTTTTAAAAGACTGTGTTGATGTTTTGCTAAACTTTCGTAAAGTTCGTATATTACAAAGCATTTTGCAGATGAAGAGCTGCCTTGAGAGACGTTTGCATCCTCAACTGTTCCCCTTTTCTAAAACACTGAGGCAGATGCATGGCGTGTTGTTTTGCATGCAGATGTCCAAGCAGGACCTGCTGGTCTCTGCGGTTCCTGGTAGTTTTCTTGCTAGTGAGTAAATATGAGGTAATAACGATGTTTACACTGACGAGCCCCTCTGCTCTCCAGCATGTTCATGAAACGATGTGAGTAGATTTAAAAGCACAAACTGAGTATCTCTGGAGAAACCTTCTGTTGGTCTTCATTCATTTCTGTCTCTGTGCTCCACCAGGTCCGTTTAGACCAGAACCCGACCAGAACCCCTCACTGTAAATTACCTTGAGAAATAATGACAGTTGGTTGTATAAGAACAGGCTTTAATGCCGAAAAATGATGAAATGTTAGAAGCCATACATGTCATCCAAATGGATCAGAACCAGAGTTACATTCACCGTCCAGCGCCGGTCCACTGAGCTCCTGATTATTCTTCTCAGTCTGCTCCCTCTCTAAAGGGTCTAATCAGTTTCAGTCTGTTTATGTCACACATAAACATGGTTATGTAAGCTGCAGGGTGTAAGCAGACAGAAGAGGCTAAAAGACACAGAGGGAAACACAGAGTCCGTAACACTTCTGTCTGCCCTCATGTCTCTGTTTGACTCAAACGAGTTCAGATTCGGGTAGTTGGGACATTTTTTTTATCTCAAAAACCTTCCCACATTTATTTACATCATCAGTTCACAGAAATTGACTCTTTGCAGCCTCTAAGCCAGGAGTTCACAAACTTTTCAACCTGTAACCCCCAAAAATAGTGCCAGAGTGCTGACCCCCAACAGCTGACCTGGTGACTCCATTACATTATTTATCTGTATCTATGTATATTTAATGGATTTGTTTTTGAAAAATGAGATTTTTATCATTTGATTTTATCATTTAAAACAGGGCTGTCAAACTAAGTTTCCTTTCTGATGTCTAGAGGGCCAGAGAAAAAACTAAGGTGGGCCGAATTTGGCCCTCGGGCCTCTAGTTGAACACATAATTTAATAGTTAAAACCCTCAGTTTGAAAATCGCTGATCTGAGCTAAACCTGGACAGGAAGTCCTGCTGTCCTTCACTTGTGCTTCTTTTTCTGATTTACAGTCTGTAAAAAGTATTCACCCCTTGGATGTTTTCCTCACAGCCCACAGGAAAAACTGTGGAGACAAGTTTCTTTTTTTTTTTTTTTGCTAATTATTTAATTAAAATGTAAAATCTGTGGTTAGTGTCTCAGAGCTGTTGCCTTGGTTACTCACCTGCATGACGCTCATTTCTCACCTGGAATCCGACCAAAGGTACATATGAGACTACAGGTCCACTAACACAACATTCTTTGCTTGGATGAGACAAAATTTTACTTGTTGGTAAAAGAAAAAAAAAAAACTGCACATCACCACAAACTCACCCCCTCCACTGTGAAGCATGGTGGTGGCAGTGTCATGCTCTGGGAATGCTTCCCAGCAGCAAACCCTGAAGTCCTGGAGGATAATCTGAGTGAGACGGTAAAGATTAATGTTCCAGCTAAAACTGCTCAGAAACAGGGAGAATGTGCCCAAGTGGCCTAGTCAAAGCCCATATATCATTCTGAGCTGATTCCCAAGGGAGGATGGAAGAAGCCCCCAAATGTGTCCAGATGTTGTCCCACAGACTCCATAATTTTGCAAATGCTTGTTAAAAATGACTTTGACCATAACGTTCTGCAGAAAAGCAATAAGAGGTTCAAACAGCCAGGGGTGTGAATACTTTAAAAGCTTGTACCTGCTGATCAGAAATTATGTTTTTCTCATATTTTTTCATGTTAGTGATTATTTTCCGTTCCATGTTTTGGACGCTGGAATCAAAGATGGAGGACAGGCACTGAGTCACCTGACTCTTCTTCATGTTAACCTGCGAAACAAAAACACTTAGGATAATAAAAGGTGAGACAGCAGCGACGGCTGCTGAAGCAGAGACAGTCTTCCTGTTAAGGTTCTGGTTCTGGTTCCGGTCGTGCTCTAACCCTGGGTCATCTCTAGCGTCATGCGGGGTTTCCCAGCAGCAGCAGCAGGGACGGATGGAAGAGAAGAAGAAGAAAAGCTAACCCAGCATCAGGAAAACATCCAGACCTGCAGGAGAAAACCGCTCGGCTTCCTGTTCCACACATCTGCTGATAAAATTACTATAAAATAATTAAATAAAAGCTTAGCAGTTCACAACACCCAGGTTTTATTTGCGTCCAGATATTAGCTAAACTGTTCGCTCTTGAACAAGCTAAATATTTACTTTTTAAGCTACGTTTATAGCTCAAATAGATTTCATACTAAATATTCCTGGAGGAGCTGGAAGAGGCTGGAGAGGGAAGACTGGGCCTCCTTACTTAGGCTGCTGACCCCACGACCCGACCCCGGATAAGATGGATGGATGATGGATGGATGGATGGATGGATGATGGATGGATGGATGGATGGATGATGGATGGATGGATGGATGGATGATGGATGGATGGATGGATGGATGATGGATGGATGA